CAGCGCCCCCCAGTGGTACCGGTGACACCAGTGCCACCCAGCGGACGGGACACAGCGCCCCCCAGCGGTAACGGTGACACCAGCGCCCCCCAGCGGGACCGGTGACACCAGCGCCCCCCAGCGGGACCGGTGACAACAGCGCCCCCCAGCGGGACCGGTGACACCAGCGCCCCCCAGCGGCACCGGTGACACCAGCGCCCCCCAGCGGGACCGGTGACACCAGCGCCCCCCAGCGGTACCGGTGACACCAGCGCCCCCCAGCGGGACCGGTGACACCAGCGCCCCCCAGCGGGACCGGTGACACCAGCGCCCCCCAGCGGGACCGGTGACACCAGCGCCCCCCAGCGGGACCGGTGACACCAGCGCCCCCCAGCGGTAACGGTGACACCAGCGCCCCCCAGCGGTACCGGTGACACCAGCGCCCCCCAGCGGTACCGGTGACACCAGCGCCCCCCACCGGTAACGGTGACACCAGCGCCCCCCAGCGGTACCGGTGACACCAGCGCCCCCCAGCGGAACCGGTGACACCAGCGCCCCCCAGCGGGACCGGTGACACCAGCGCCCCCATCGGTACCGGTGACACCAGCGCCTCCCAGTGGGACCGGTGATACCGGAGCCCCCCAGTGGTACCGGTGACACCAGCGCCTCCCAGCGGGTACCGGTGACACCAGCGCCTCCCACCGGGACCAGTCACAGCGCTGCGACCCAGTGGTACCGGTCACACCAGCACCTTGCAGCGGTACCGGTGCCACCAGCACCACCCACTGGTACTGGTCACAGTGCTGGGACACACCAGTACCAGTGGCACCAGTGCCTCCCAGCGGTACCGGTGCCACCAGCGCCAGAACCACTCATGGTACTATAGGGGCACCATCACCGGTCCCACCAGCACCACAACACCGGTGTCACCCACCAGCACCGCGTCACACTGGTGTCACCCACCGGCCTTGGGTGACACCGGCATCACCATGACACCGGAGTCACTCAGGGTACTGCTGGGGGGGGACGACACCAGCACTGGGTCACACTGGTACCACTCACTGACATCACCCACCAGCACCACCACACCGGTACCGTCCCACCAGCACCGGGTCACACTGGTGTCACCCTCCAGTTTCCCCCACCACATCACCCACCAGCCTTGGGTGACACTGGCATCACCGTGACACCAGAGTCACTCAGGGTACTGCCGGGGGGGGACGACACCAGCACTGGGTCACACTGGTACCACTCATTGGCATCACCCACCAGCACCATCACACTGGTACCGTCCCACCAGCACTGGGTCACACTGGTGTCACCCTCCAGTATCCCCCACCCACATCACCCACCAGCCTTGGGTGACACTGGCATCACCGTGACACCAGAGTCACTCAGGGTACTGGCAGGGGGGGGACAACACCAGCACTGGGTCACACAGGTACCACTCATTGGCATCACCCACCAACACCACCACACCAGTACCGTCCCACCAGCACTGGGTCACACTGGTGTCACCCTCCGGTGTCCCCCACCCACATCACCCACCGGCTTTGGGTGACACTGGCATCACCATGACACCAGAGTCACTCAGGGTACTGCCGGGGGGGGGGGATGACACCAGCACTGGGTCACACAGGTACCACTCACTGGCATCACCCACCAGCACCATCACACCGGTACCGTCCCACCAGCACCGGGTCACACTGGTGTCACCCACCGGCCTTGGGTGACACCGGCATCACCGTGACACTGGCATCACCGTGACACCGGAGTCACTCAGGGTACTGCCGGGGGGGTACACACCAGCACTGGGTCACACTGGTGTCACCCACTGGCCTTGGGTGACACTGGCATCACTGTGACACCAGAGTCACTCAGGGTACTGGCAGGGGGGGACAACACCAGCACTGGCTCACACTGGTACCGCTCATTGACATCACCCACCAGCACCATCACACCGGTACCATCCCACCAGCACCGGGTCACACTGGTGTCACCCTCCAGTATCTCCCACCCACATCACCCACCAGCTTTGGGTGACACTGGCATCACCATGACACCGGAATCATTCAAAGTAATGCCAGGGGGGGATGACACCAGCATTGGGTCACACAGGTACCACTCATTGGCATCACCCACCAGCACCATCACACTGGTACCGTCCCACCAGCACTGGGTCACACTGGTGTCACCCACCGGCCTTGGGTGACACCGGCATCACCGTGACACCAGAGTCACTCAGGGTACTGCCAGGGGGGTACGCAGCAGCACTGGGTCACACTGGTACCGCTCACTGACATCACCCACCAGCACCACCACACCGGTACCGTCCCACCGGCACCGGGTGACACCGGCACCAACCCACCGGCACCCTGTGTGCGTGTCCCCAACCCCAGACCTTCTCAGTGATCTCCTTGAGCGAGGGGTAGAGCACGTCCTTGGAGAGCAGGCTCTGCATGATGCTCCTCATGACGGGCAGGACGCTGCCCTCGCCGTCCCCATCGCCCTCCTCCAGCCCCAGCCCCTCCAGCGCCTTCGCCACCTCCTCCTCCGAGGCCGAAGAGCCCTGTGTGGGCAGCATCACCCCCATAGCACCACAGAGCACCCCATAGCAATGGGGGGAATGGGATGGGACGGACCCCGCTATGGGGCAGCCGTACCTGTAGGTCGCTGGCGTTCTTAGCCAAGCCGCTCAGCGTCTCCTTGAGGCAGGAGGTGAATTCCTGCTGCGACGCCGCGTCGCTGCCTGCACCAGCACAGCCACCGACACCCCCATTGAGGGCACCCCCTAAACCCATCCCTTACGGTGCTACCACAGCACCCCCCTTAGCACCCCAACGCCCATCCCTGGTGCTCACCGACTCTGCCGGCGGCTTCCGAGAGCTTCTGGAACTGCTCCACCAGCTGCGGCTCCTCCCGTGCCAGCTCCTGCATGGCGCGGTCGAACTCGGCCGCCGCCTGCGCCGCCAGGTCCCCCTCGAAGAGCTCCTCGAAGAAGCGCTCCTGAGCCGCGAACAGGGACCCCTGCGGGCGGGGATGGGGACGGGGACGGGGCAGCAGCAACGGGAGCGGGGAACCCCGGCCCTACAAGTGGGGGGATCCCCCCGGTTATGGGGCTGGAGCCGCTCCCCCCCCCGCGCTCACCTTGGCGGTGTCGCTGGGAGAGGGATCGGTGCCGGTGGCGGTGCCGGGAGCGGGGGCAGGAGGCGGAGGGGGGGGCCGGGTTTTGTCGAAGTCATCCAAGGCACCTGGGGGGCAGGGGGGGGAAGGAGGTTTTGGCACCCAAATGGTGGCCCCACACCCCAATGAGCCCCAGTGCACCCCAATGAGCCCCAGCGTACACCAGTGAACACCCCTGCACCCCAATGAGCCCCTTGTACCCCAATGAACACCCCTGCACCCCAATGAGCCCACCTGCACCCCAATGAGCCCCCTGCACCCCAATGAGCCCACCTGCACCCCAATGAACACCCCTGCACCCCAATGAGCCCACCTGCACCCCAATGAGCCCCTTGTACCCCAATGAGCCCACCTGCACCCCAATGAGCCCCTTGTACCCCAATGAGCCCACCTGCACCCCAATGAACACCCCTGCACCCCAATGAGCCTCAGTGTACCCCAATGAGCCCCAGTACACCCCAATGAGCCCACCCACACCCTAATGATCTCCTTGTACCCCAATGAGCTCTTCTGCACCACAATGACCCCCTATGCACCCCAATGAGACCCACTGCCCCCCAGTTACGCCCATTACACCCCAATGCTCCCCAGCCCCATTACACCCCAGTGACCCCCAGCCCCATTACACCCCAATGCTCCCCAGCCCCATTACACCCCAATGACCCCCAGCCCCATTACACCCCAATGCTCCCCAGCCCCATTACACCCCAATGCTCCCCAGCCCCATTACTCCCCAGTGACCCCCAGCCCCATTACACCCCAATGCCCCCAGCCTGATTACACCCCAGTGACCCCCGCCCCAGTGACCTCCCCCAGCCCCACAGCACCCCCATACCGCTCCTGCCCACTGCCCTCCCCCTCCGTTCTCCCCCCCCCTTACTCTCGAGCAGCGCCTCCAGCTCCGGGTCAGGGCCCGGCTCCGGCCCCAGCTCCGCCGCCATCTTTGCGCGGCTCCGCCTCCGCCAGGGGGCGCGCCCGCCCCGCCCACCCGCCGAGGCCCCGCCCACCCGTCGAAGCCCCGCCCCTAATGGCGCAGTTGCGCAGCTCTCCCGCCAGGCGGCGCCGCAGTTCGCGGGGCGGTGCTTGTCTCCCCCTTGCGGACCGGCGGACCGCGACCGCAGATGTTGGGGTCCGGCTTCTTGTTGGGGGGAACCCAGGTGTGGGGGTCCCAGAATTGAGGGTCTCAGATGTGAGGGTCCCAGAATTGGGGGTCCCGGAATTGGGGGTCCCAGAATTGGGGGTCACAGATGTGGGGGTCCCAGAATTCGGGGTTCCAGACGTGAGGGTCCCAAAATTGGGTGTGCCGGAATTGGGGATCCCAGAATTGGGGGTCCCAGATGTGAGGGTCCCAGAATTGGGGGTCCCGGAATTGGGGGTCCCAGAATTGGGGGTCCCAGAATTGGGGGTCCCAGAATTGGGGGTCCCAGATGTGAGGGTCCCGGAATTGGGGGTCCCGGAATTGGGGGTCCCAGATGTGGGGGTCCCAGCTCTTGGAGGTCCCAGATTTTGGGGTCTCCCCCTTCGAGGTCCCAGGTCTTGGAGGTTCAGAAGTTTTGGGGGGGTTCACGAGGGTCTTGGGGGTGGACTTAGGGGGTTTTGGGAGGGGGGGAGTTTGGGGGGGGGTTCTGGGGTCCACCCCCGATGGGTGCCACTATCCCCATCCCCAGCTCCCCCCCCCTCAAGTTACAGACCCCCTGCCCTATTTACACGTGGTGCTGCTTTACTGGGACACGGGGGGGGGAGCAGCACACAGCCCCCCCCATTTCCGGGGGTCCCGGCCCCACAATGGGGGTTTGGGGTCAAACGCCCCCCAATTCCAGGGGGAAAAGAAGGGGGTGGGGGGGGGTCAGGAGCTTTTGATCTCGAGGGTCTCGTAGGTCTCTTGGCCCTCACTGCTGAGCCCCTGCATGGGACAAAAGGGGGACAAGGGGGGGGGGTCACAAGTTGTTTGTGCCCCCCCTCAACACTGTCCCCCCCCCATAGCAAGAGGGGTCCCATTCAACCCAGTGGGGGAAGATCCCATTCAACCCAGTGCAGGGACCCCATAAGGGAGAGCAGCTGGGGGGGGTCACATCCCAAACCCCCCCCCCCAAGTGACTTACAACATAGACGGCTTCTTCCTTCTGCTGATGGGAAATGAAAGAGAAAGAGATGAAGGGACAAAGGGGGGGGAACGGGACATGGGCACCCCCCCTGCACCCCTCATTCCTTAGGGAACAGGGGGGTCCCCCCAATCCATCCTCCCCCCCCCCCAATCTCTTACCTCTTTGGTGGCTCCCTGTTGTGATGCTCGGTAAACGCTGAACTGCCGGGAATGGGGGGGGCACCCCAAAAAGGAGGGGAAAACACAGGAATCAGAGGGAAAAACATGGGGAGAGGGCCAGAAATAGGGGGGGTCCCCCCAATGCTCACCTTGAGGCGGCAATAGATGGCGGTGAGGACGATGCCATAGAGGAAGAGGATGGCATCGAGGATGTAGCAGAACTCCGGCTCCATCAGGGCCTCTGGGGGGGGTGAAGGGGGGTCCCCAAGCTCAGCCCCATTGGGGGGGGTCAATGGGGTCAGCCCCATTGCAGTGGGTCCAGGGTGGATCTGACGTCCATTGGGGCACCCGGAACCCTCCAGGACTCTCCTTTGGGTGATCCCAAGCTCCCAACCCCACTGCCATGAACCCACCCAGCCCCTTGCCCGCCCCACAGATTCCCCCCCCCCCACCTGCTGCTGGGGTCCGGAGCAGGAGCAGGAGCAGGAGGACACCCATGGGTGCAGCGGGTGCCAGCAAGGGGCCGGTGGGTGGCAGCCGGGGACGGTGACCGCGGCCAAGCCGGAGGCTTCACCCACCCCACGGCACTTCCCCTCCTCCAGCCAACAGCCGGGGCCAGCGTCACCCAGCCCAGTGTCACCATCACCCAACCCAGTGTCACTATTCCAGTCCCACTGTCACCATCACCCAGCCCAGTGTCACCGTCACCAAACCCAGTGTCACCATCACCCAACCCAGTGTCACTATTCCAGTCCCACTGTCACCATCACCCACCCCCAGTGTCACCGTCACCCAGCCCCAGTGTCACCATTCCGACCCCACTGTCACCATCACCCACTCCCATTGTCACCATTCCGGCCCCACTGTCACCATCACCCTGCCCCAGTGTCACCATTCCGGCCCCACAGTCTCCATCACCCAGCCCCAGTGTCACCATTCCGCCCCAATGTCACCATCACCCACTCCCATTGTCATCATTCCGGCACCACTGTCACCATCACCCTGCCCCAGTGTCACCATTCCGGCCCCACAGTCTCCATCACCCAGCCCCAGTGTCACCATTCCGCCCCAATGTCACCATCACCCACTCCCATTGTCATCATTCCGGCCCCACTGTCACCATCACCCAGCCCCAGTGCCGCTGTCACCCAACCCGTCACCATCACCCACTCCCAGTGTCACCATTCCAGCCCCCCAGTCACCATCACCCACTCCCATTGTCACCATTCCGGCCCCAGTATCACCATCACCCAGCCCAGTGTCACCATTCCAGCCCCACTGTCACCGTCGCCCTGTGGGTGCTGCCAGCACCCAACAGTGGGGTCCCCATCCAGCAAAGGGGAAGCTCTCACCACAAACCCTCCATAGGAAGGGAAGGGGAGGGGAAGGAGGGGAAGTTCCCCCCGGAGCAGAGGGGGCCGGGGCAGGGGACGGAGCTGCGGCACCGCAGGACCCACTTCAGCCTTTATTAATGGCAGCAGAGGAAAAGGGGGTGCAGGGGGGGGGGAACCGGGACCCCCCAATGGGGCACGAGGAGCTGGGGCCGTGGCTTCACCGGTCCACTTCACCGAAGACAATGTCCTGTGTGCCTATGGGGGGGGACACATGGGGGTCAGGAGAAGGGGGACCCCCTCCAGGACCCCCCCCCCGCACCCCAAGGACCAGACGTACCGATGATGGCCACCACATCCGCCAGCATGTGGCCTTGGGCCATGCGGTCCAGCCCGGCCTGGAGGAGCACAGGGAACCCCCATCAGCCCCATAGCACCCCCATCCAGCACCCCCAGCAAGCGAGGGGATGAGGATGAGGATGTGGTCCCTCATGGGCACAGCACCAGCATCACAAGGGGAGATGTGGGGACACAAAGGACCCGCAGGCAGCCGGCACCCCCTATAAGCCCTTATCCCCCCCATTGCTATGGGGTGATGCCCCTACCAGGTGAGCGAACCCCGGTGCCTTGATCTTGCAGCGGTAGGGGCGGCTGCTGCCGTCGGACACCAGGTACACACCGAATTCCCCCTGCAGGGATACGGGGATGGGGTTGGGGATGCGGTGACACCGAGGTGCCCCCCTCTTTGTTGTCACCATAACACAAGAGGCACCTTGGGGGCCTCGATGGCCGTGTAGGTGGCCCCGGGGGGCACTTGGTAGCCCTCAGTGTAGAGCTTGAAGTGATGGATCAAGGACTCCATGGAGGTCTGTGGAGAGAGGAGGACATGGAGCACTGGTGGTGGCCACGGTGACACCAAACACCCCCCAAACCCCATTTCCCCTTGTGGGTGAGGCCCCAATGCAGGATGGACCCCCCTTTACCTTCATCTCCGCCCTCTTTGGTGGTGAGATCTTGGCATCGTCCACCTTGATCTCACCCTCGGGCATCTTATTGAGGCACTGCAGGATGATGCGGAGCGACTGGCGCATCTCCTCCACGCGGCACAGGTACCTGTGGGGCCGTGTCCCGTCCCCCCCTAGCGCTCAGCACCCACAGCACCATGCCCACTGGGTGCCCCATGGGGTCACCACAGCCTCATTGCAGCCCCCCAAGTGTGGGTCTGACCCCCAGGTACCGGTCATAGCAGTCACCCCTGGAGCCGATGGGGACGTCGAACTCCACTTGGTCGTAGACGTCGTAGGGTTGGGTCTTCCGGAGATCCCAGTGGATTCCTGAGCCTCGGAGCATGACCCCACTGCAAGGAGGGACCGGGTGAGCAGGACCCTGGTGTGGGGGCCCCCAAACCCCAGTCCCCCCAGACCCACCTGAAGCCATAGTTCAGAGCCTCCTCTGCTGTTATGACACCGATGTCGATGGTGCGGTTCTTCCAGATGCGGTTGTTGGTGAGCATCTATGGGGTGCGGAGTCCATCACCCCCATGTCACCCCTCCTACACCATTCCCAACCTTCAGGGTGTCCCCATCTCCCACTTTTAGAGCCCCACATGGGTTGGGATGAAGGGAGCTTAAAGCTCATCTAAAGCCATGGGTAGGGACCCCTTCCACTAGAGGAGGATGCTCCAACCTGGCCTTGAGCACTGCCAGGGATGGGGTAGCCCCAGCTTCTCTGGGGGGCTCAGCCCCCTCACAGGGAAGAGCTTCCCTATATCCAACCTGAACCCCTCTTCCCAGCGGGATCCTCACCTCCTCCACCTCATCTATCCGGATGGAGAAGTTCTTCACGAACTCATAGATGTCATCCATCAACCCTAAGGGCAGGTCCTGGGTGGGATAAGAAGGAGCTGGGTGAAAGGGGGGAACCAGAGGGGTCAGCACCCACTGGGGGAGCTCAGGGGTACCCCCCCCCCATAATGTTACCTGGTGCACCCCCCCGGGGCGGATGTAGGCAGCGTGCATCCGCGCTCCCGACACCCGCTCATAGAACTCGAACATCTATGGGAGAGAGGAGGATTAAGAGGTCCTGGGGGGGTGGGGGGGGGGATTGGCAGCCCCACACCCAACCATGGCCCCCCCCAGTGCCCCCCCACCTTCTCCCTCTCCTCGAACATCCAGAAGAAGGGGGTCATGGCGCCGATGTCCAGCGCGTGCGTGGTCACGGCCATGATGTGGTTGAGCAGCCGCGTGATCTCGGCGAAGAGCACTGCGGGATGAGGGGGGGGTTCAGCTGCAATCCCCATGGGATCCCTGTGGAACCCCTATGAGATCCCCAGGGGACCCCTATGGAATCCCTATGGAATCACTATGGGATCCCCACGGAATCCCCATGGAATCCCCATGGAATCACTATGGGATCCCCATGGAATCACTATGGGATCCCCATGGAATGACTATGGGATCCCCATGGAATCCCCATGGAATCACGATGGGATCCCCATGGAATGACTATGGGATCCCCATGGAATCACGATGGGATCCCCATGGAATGACTATGGGATCCCCATGGAATCCCCATGGAATTCCTATGGAATCACTATGGGATCCCCATGGAATTCCTATGGAATCACTATGGGATCCCCATGGAATCCCAGTGGAATCACTATGGGATCCCCATGGAATTCCTATGGGATCCCTATGGAGTCTGTATGGAATCACTATGGAATCCCCATGGGATCCCCATTGAATCCCTATGGGATCCGTATGAAATCCCTGTAGAATCCCCATGGAATACCCATGGGATCCCAATCAAATCCCTATGGGATCCCTATGGGATCCCAATCAAATCCCTATGGGATCCCTATGGGATCCTGATGGAATCCCAATAGAATCCCCATGGGATCCCTATGGAATCCCCATGGGATCCCTAAGGAATCCCCATGGGAACCCTATGGAATCCCTATGGGATACGCATGGAATCCCCATAAAATCCCTATGGGATCCCCATGGAACCCCTATGGGATCCCTATAGAATCCCTATGTGATCCCTATGGGATCCCCTCCTTCCTCACCCCGGATCCACTGAGCCCGCAGCGGTGGGCGGATGTTGAGCAGCTTTTCCACGGCCAAGGAATAGGCCTGCTCATTGCACATCATGGACACGTAGTCGAGGCGGTCGAAGTAAGGCAGAGCCTGATGGGGAGCAAACGGGACACGATGGGAAGGACAATGGATAACACCCCTCTGAGGGAGCTTTCCAGCTCCCAACCCCAGACCCACGGCGCTGTTTCAATGGAATCCCAACCGGGTTTGGGGTTGGAAGGGATCCACAAGGACCAGGTTGCTCCAAACCCCATCCATCAGCACCCAGGGATGGGGCAGGCCCAGCCCCAGCCACCCCCAGGCTCCCTGTGGTGTTACCTGCAGGTAGGTCTTGTACTCGATGAGCTTCTCGGTGCCGCGGTGCAGGAGGCCGATGTGGGGGTCGCACCTCTTGACCGACTCCCCACTGAGCTCCAGGACGAGGCGGAGGACGCCGTGAGCCGCTGGGTGCTGAGGCCCGAAGTTGATGGTTAAACTGGAGACCTTCCTGTGCGCCACCGGGTCCTTGTCTGTGCCGAGAGGGAGGGAGGGAGGGAGGGATGGATGGATGATGGGTGGATGGATGGAGGGATGAGGGATGGAGGGATGGATGGATGAGGGATGGATGGGTGCATGGATGGATGGATGGATGGATGAAGGATGGACGGAGGGAAAGAGAGAGGGAGGGAGGGAGGGAGGGATGATGGATGGATGGATGGATGGGTGCACGGATGGATGGATGGATAGATGGGGGATGGACGGAGGGAAAGAAAGAGAGAGGGAGGGAGGGAGGGAGGGATCATGGATGGATGGATGGATGGATGATGGATGGAGGATGGACAGAAGGAAAGAGAGAGGGAGGGACGGAGAGAGGGAGGGATGATGGATGGATGGATGGATAGATGATGGATGGGTACACGGATGGATGATGGATGGATGGAGGGATGGATGGATGGATGGAGGAAGGGAGGGAGGGATGGATGGGTGCATGGATGGATGAGGGATGGATGGAGGGAAAGAGAGAGGGATGGATGGGGGGGAGGGAGGGATGATTAATGGATGGATGGATGAATGCATGCATGGATGGATGGATGGATGGATGGATGGATGATGGATAATGGGTGGATGGATGGATGGGGAACACGGTCGGGAATGGGGTGGGAATGTCCTGATCCCGGCTCTTCCCGGACTCAAGGACGTCAGAGCTTGGCCGTGCAGCAGGAACACGGCGTTCCCGTTAGTGCCAGATCAGCTCCAAGGCTCCACAGCGGGAAGCTCCCAAGGGATTCACCCCCCCCCCCCCAATGACACCCATGGGGTTGGGGGGACCAAGGCAGGCCCAGCGCACCCCCAAACCCCAGGGCACCCCCAGGGCACCCAATGGACCCCGGAGCCCACCGAGCACCCCCCGTTCTCACCGTTCCAGGGGGGCGGCACCCACTTCTCGGTCTCTTTGCTCGGGTACATGACGGCCCCCGCGAACTGCTGCGCCCACTCCACATCGGGCTGCCATTGCCGGGCCGACCTGAGGGCCGGGACGTGATGGGAACGGACGGGAAGGGACGGGACGGGCGTGAGGCGGGGACCGAGCCCGCAGCCCCCAGACCCAGACCTAGACCCAGACCCAGACCCAGACCTAGACCCAGACCCAGACCCGCTCTCCTCATCCCCCGCCGCTGGCCCCGTTCTCACCGCACCGGGGCCGGGCCCAGCCGCGCCGCCGCCGCCCGCAGCCCCGAAGGTGCCCGGAGCCTCCCAAGCGCCCTCAGCGCCGCCATCTTGCCCTTGGAGCTGCGCGTGCGCACACGAAGGGGGTGTGGCCAGCGGCGCCATGGTTGAAGTGGGCAGGTAAAGCTTTTACCCTCCGCCGCCGCCATATTGGCTGCGGGCAGCGCTGTGCCGCCATCTTTACTAAGGGCAACATCCGGGACATGGCGCTGGCGTCGCCGCCATCTTTGAGTGGGGCAGGGTGGGGACGGGGATGGGGGGGGCACGGCGGGGATGGAGAGGACGGGGTGTTCCCTGTTCCCCCCCACCATGACACCCCTCGTGTCCCCCCCGTGTCCCCCCAATGACACCCCCCGTGTCGCCAAGCGGGTGGCACACGTGTAACGGGTGACCCCGGCCGGCGACCCCCCCCGACCCCGCTGTTGGGGTCCCCATTGGGTCCCTGTTGTCTCCCCTTTCCGTGTTCCCCAACCCCCGCCCCGGGGTCACCGGTTCCCGCGCCCTCCCCTGCGTCACCCGCCCCGGTGACGTCAGCCCCGCGTCACGGCTGTTCCCGGCGCGCTCTGAGTCACGGGGTCGCGCCGGTGGCACGGACAGAGGTTGGCCACTGGCCACCCCCCCCCCCCCAGCACCCCTCTCCCGTGGTGTGGGGAGAGATGGGGACCCCCAAGGGGGGGGGCAGCTTTGGGGAGCCAGGACTGGGATACTGCAGATGGGAGAGAGGGGAAGTGGGACATAGGGGAGATGGAAGTAGGGGTACAGGGGCTGGGGATGCTGGAACTGGAACATACTGGAGATGGAAGTAGGGATACAGGGACTGGGGATGCTGGAAGTGGGAGAGAGAGTGGAACTGGGGGTGCTGGAGCTGGGGATTTGGAACTGGAACATACTGGAGATGGGGATGCTGGAAGTGGAACATACTGGAGATGGAAGTAGGGATACAGGGACTGGGGATGCTGGAAGTGGGAGAGAGAGAGTGGAACTGGGGGGTGCTGGAGCTGGGGATGTTGGAACTGGAACATACTGGAGATGGGGATGCTGGAAGTGGAACATACTGGAGATGGAAGTAGGGATACAGGGACTGGGGATAATGAAACCGGGAATACTGGAAGTGGGAGATAGATAATGGAACTTGGGATGCTGGAGCTGGGGATGCTGGAACTGGAACATACCTGAGATGGAAGTATGGATACAGGGACTGGGGATGCTGGAAGTGGGAGATACTGGAACTAGGGATGCTGGAACCAGGGATACTGGAAGTGGGAGATACTGGAACTGGGATGCTGGAGCTGGGGATGTTAGAACTGGGAGACAGTGGAACTGGGACATACTAGAAATGGGGATAATGGAGCTGGGGATGCTGGAACTGGGGATACTGGAACTCAGAGATAATGCTAATGGGGATGCTGGAGCTAGGGATACTCGAACTAGAGGTACTGGTTACAGCGATACTGAAACAGGGGATAGTGGAACTTGCACATACTGGAGCTGGGGATGCTGTAACTGGGGACACTGGAGTTGGGGATGCTGTAACTGGGGATACTGGAGCTGGGGATGCTGTAACTGGGGATACTGGAGCTGAGGATGCTGTAACTGGGGACACTGGAGCTGGGGATGCTGTAACTGGGGATACTGGAGCTGAGGATGCTGTAACTGGGGACACTGGAGTTGGGGATGCTGTAAATGGGGACACAGGAGCTGGGGTTGCTGTAACTGGGGACACTGGAGCTGGGGATGCTGTAAGTGGGGACACTGGAGCTGGGGATGCTGTAACTGGGGACACTGGAGCTGGGGTTGCTGTAACTGGGGACACTGGAGCTGGGGATGCTGTAACTGGGGATGCTGTAACTGGGGACACTGGAGCTGGGGATGCTGGAACTGGGGACACTGGAGGTGGGGATGCTGTAAGTGGGGACACTGGAGCTGGGGTTGCTGTAAGTGGGGACACTGGAGCTGGGGATGCTGTAACTGGGGACACTGGAGCTGGGGATGCTGTAACTGGGGACACTGGAGCTGGGGATGCTGTAACTGGGGACACTGGAGCTGGGGATGCTGTAACTGGGGACACTGGAGCTGGGGATGCTGTAACTGGGGACACTGGAGCTGGGGATGCTGTAACTGGGGACACTGGAGCTGGGGATGCTGTAACTGGGGACACTGGAGCTGGGGATGCTGTAACTGGGGACACTGGAGCTGGGGATGCTGTAACTGGGGACACTGGAGCTGGGGATGCTGTAACTGGGGACACTGGAGCTGGGGATGCTGTAACTGGGGACACTGGAGCTGGGGATGCTGTAACTGGGACACTGGCAGGTCCCAGAGCAGCGGCCGCTGTGGCAGATGCCGGAGCCCAGTGGGTGCTGCGGGTCCCATGGGTGCACAGAGGCTCTTTGTGCAGCGGCACCGGGTGCCTCCGGCTGCCTTTGTCCGGGGCCGCGTCACCCCGATCCCGGGGACGGCACCGACGGCACCGGCAGCGCCCCGACCCCCCCGCACCGGGACCGGGACCGCCCCCCCCTCCTTCCCAGAAGGGAGGAAGCAGGATGCGGGGCCGTGTCCTACCGGGGGGGGGGGGGGACAGGAGGTGACTCGGGTGTGAGACAGCGGGTGGCCCTGCTGGGAAAGGCGGACACGGGGGGGGGCATGGGGGAACCGGGAGGGATGAAGAGGATGAGGAGGGATGGGAGCACAGGCAGGAATGGAGGGATGAGGAGGTTGAGGAAGGATGAGAAGGGATGAGGGACAGGAAGGGATGAAGGGAATGAGGGGGATGAGGAGGGATGAGAAGCATGAGGAGGGATGAAGGTGATGAGGAAGATGAGGGGGACAGGGAGCGATGAAAGGAATTAGGAGGATGAGGGAGAAGAGGAGGAGGAGAAAGGATGAAGGGGGTGAGGAGAACGAGAATGGGTGAAGATGATGAGGGGGGTGAGGAGGGATGAGGATGAGGAGGGATGCGGAGCACAGGCAGGAATGGAGGGATGAGGAGGTTGAGGAAGGATGAGAAGGGATGAGGGACAGGAAGGGATGAAGGGAATGAGGGGGATGAGGAAGGATGGGAGGATGAGGAGGGATGAAGGTGATGAGGAAGATGAGGGGGACAGGGAGCGATGAAAGGAATTAGGATGATGAGGGAGGAGGAGGAGAAAGGATGAAGGGGGGGAGGAGAACGAGAATGGATGAAGATGATGAGGGGGGTGAGGAGGGATGAGGATGAGGAGGGATGCGGAGCACAGGCAGGTACGCAGGAGACAGGGAAGGATGGGGAGGAAGAGGAGGATGAGGAAGGGTTAGCGTGATGAGGGATGGCGGGACAGGGATGGTGAAGGGAATGAGGAGGATGAGGGATGAAGGATGAAGGGCACAGGCAGGGGTAGAGCCCCCTGCTGGCATCCAACACCTCCCGTGGGACCGGTCCCGGTGAGGGGAGATCCCGGAGGGTCCCCGGGGGGGGGATGTCCCGGCCCTGCCTTCCCGAACGGCCCGAGGGGGGGGGTCGGGTCGGGGCCGCCCCGCTCAGCTCCGCCCCTCCCGGGACAGCCCATCCCGCCCGTTAAAAAGCGGCGGGACCCGCTTGCCGCGGGGCTATCGCGGGGCTATCGTGGGGCTATCGCGGGGCTATCGTGGGGCTATCGTGGGGGTATCGCGGGGCTGTCGCTGTGTCGCGGTGCCCGGGCCATGCGCTGCGAGCTCCTGACGCTCCTGGTCGCCGTCGCTGCTGTTGGGGCTGCTCCCGGTCCCGCGTGTCCGGTAACGGCAATGGGAGAATCCGATACAAGGACCCGAGTGGGGCAAGCCCCGAGGAGAAGCAAGGTACGGCCGGGGCGGGATATACGAGACCGGGACCGGAATGGACCGGGATGAGGATGGGACAGGCTGGGATGGAGCGGGGCACACGGGACCGGGATCGGGATGGACCGGGATGAGGATGGGACAGGCTGGGATGGAGCGGGGCACACGGGACCGGGATCGGGATGGACCGGGATGAGGATGGGACAGGCTGGGATGGAGCGGGGCACTGGGACGGGATCGGGATGGACCGGGATGAGGATGGGACAGGCTGGGATGGAGCGGGGCACACGGGACCGGGATCGGGATGGACCGGGATGAGGATGGGACAGGCTGGGATGGAGCGGGGCACACGGGACCGGGATCGGGATGGACCGGGATGAGGATGGGACAGGCTGGGATGGAGCGGGGCACACGGGACCGGGATCGGGATGGACCGGGATGAGGATGGGACAGGCTGGGATGGAGCGGGGCACACGGGACCGGGATCGGGATGGACCGGGATGAGGATGGGACAGGCTGGGATGGAGCGGGGCACACGGGACCGGGATCGGGATGGACCGGGATGAGGATGGGACAGGCTGGGATGGAGCGGGGCACACGGGACCGGGATCGGGATGGACCGGGATCAGGATGGGACAGGCTGGGATGGAGCGGGGCACACGGGACCGGGATCGGGATGGACAGCGCTGGGACAGGGCTGGGCTGGGCTGGACCAGGATGGGCGGGACTGGAACTGGGACAGAGCAGGACACGCTGGACCAGGGCAGACTGCCAAGGATTAGGACACACGGGATCAGGACGGGTTGGGACCGGGAATAGGACTGGGATGGACCAGGATGGGAGGGACCAGGATAGGCTGGGATAGATGGGGATGTAACTGGGCTGGGATAGGCTGGGACGAGCTGGTGGCAGAACGAACGAGGACCGGACACACTGCACTGGGATGGGCTGGACCAGGGTTTCTCCCGCCTGGTCCCGGAGCTCTGGCATGCAACGGGGTGATGCTGGGGGTCACCGGGATGCGGTGGGGTGATGCTGGGGGTCACTGGGATGCAGTGGGGTGATGCTGGGGGGTCACTGGGATGCAGTGGGGTGATGCTGGGGGTCAATGAGATGCGGTGGCGTGATGCTGGGGGTCACTGGGATGCAGTGGGGTGATGCTGGGGGTCACGGGGATGCAGTGGGGTGATGCTGGGGGTCACCGGGATGCAGTGGGGTGATGCTGGGGGTCACCGGGATGCAGTGGGGTGATGCCGGGGGTCACCAGGATGCAGTGGGGTGATGCTGGGGGTCACTGGGATGCGGTGGGGTGATGCCGGGGGGTCACTGGGATGCAGTGGGGTGATGCTGGGGGGTCACCGGGATGCAGTGGGGTGATGCTGGGGGTCACCGGGATGCCGTGGGGTGATGCTGGGGGTCACTGAGATGCAGTGGGGTGATGGTGGGGATCACCGGGATGCAGTGGGGTGATGCTGGGGGTCACCAGGATGCCATGGGGTGATGCTGGGGGTCAATGGGATGCGGTGGGGTGATGCAGGGGTACCCCAGCCCCCCCCTTCAAGCCCCCTGTTCCCCCCCATCCCAGCGCTTCGCCTCGGTGCCGCGGTTCGTGGAGCTCCTCGTGGTGGCGGACGAGGCAATGGCTCGGTTCCACGGTGCGGGGCTGCGGTCGTACCTGCTCACGGTGCTGGCGGCGGCCGCCCGATCCTTCCGCCACGGCAGCCTCGGCAACGCGGTGGAGCTGCGGGTAACGCGGCTGCTGGTGCTGGGCCCCGGCAACCCCGGGCCCCCCCCGACCTCCAACGCTGCCGAGATGCTCCGGAACTTCTGCCGGTGGCAACAGGGGCTCAATGTCCCCGACGAGGACAGCCCCCTCCACTTCGACACCGCTCTGCTCTTCACCCGGCAGGTGAGGACTTTGGGGGGGATCCGCGCTGTTTGGGGATCCCCATGGGGTTGCTGAGTGATGATGGTGCCCCCCAAGGGGTTTGGGGGCTGGTTTTGGGGTGCTCACCCCTTTCCTGCCCCCCCAGGACCTATGCGGGGCGGCCACTTGTGCCACACTGGGTATGGCCGATGTGGGCACCGTGTGCGACCCGGCGCGGAGCTGCGCAGTGGTGGAGGACGATGGGCTGCAGTCTGCCTTCACCGTCGCTCATGAACTGGGTGAGTGGGGACGGGGACACGGTGGGGGGGACATCGGAGCACCCCAAAACCCCTTCAGGGCTGATGCCCCCGTCCCCCGGGGCAGGACACGTCTTCAACATGCTGCACGACACGGCGCAGCCCTGCCGGGAGCTGAACGGCGGCAGCGGAGCCGCCCGGCGGGTGATGGCTCCGGTCCTATCCTCGCTGGAGCCCGGCGAGATGTGGTCCCCGTGCAGCGCCCGCTTCATCACCGACTTCCTGGACAACGGCCACGGTACGACCCGGCTCGGGGCAGCCCCGGTGCGGCTACGTCCCATCCGGTGCTCCCAGCATCACCGGTGCCCCGCTCCCCGCAGGTCACTGCCTCCTGGACCAGCCTCCGGAGTGGCTGCCGTTGCCGTCGGCGCTACCGGGCAGTGTGTACCCGCTGCTGCGGCAATGCCAGCTCGCCTTCGGGCCCGAGTCTCGGCACTGCGGGGACCAGCAGCCCCCCTGCGCCCGGCTCTGGTGCACCGGTCACACCGGCGGCCGCTCCGTGTGCCAAACGAAGCACTTCCCCTGGGCCGATGGCACACCGTGCGCGCCGGGCAGCGCCTGCATGGACGGGGCTTGTGTCAGCATCACCCGCATGCAGGAGCTCACCGTGAGTGTGCGGGGAGAAACGGGGGTGGGCGGGCACCGGGCCCGCCGCTCGCCCCTCTCCGGGGTCCCGTTTGACCGCGTTCCCACTGCGTTTCCCGGTGCAGACCCCGGTGGACGGCGCTTGGGGGCCGTGGGGGCCGTGGAGCGGCTGCTCCCGGAGCTGCGGCGGCGGGGTCCGGCTCTCTCACCGCGGCTGCACCGAGCCCGAGCCGCGCCACGGAGGCCGCTTCTGCCGAGGGAAACGGACCCGCATCCAGTCCTGCAGCGTGGAGGAGTGCCCCGGCGGCTCCGGTGAGCGCCATGCGGGACGGACGGGGACGGGGAGGGGGGGGAGCAGCACCGGGGGCTGGCGCTGACCCCACCGATCGCCCCCCCACGGCAGCTCTGGCGTTCCGGGAGGAGCAATGCGCCGCGTACAACCGCGGCCCCGAGCTCGTCAAGGGGCTGCCGGCGCCGCGGGACTGGGTCCCTCGTTACAGCGGCGTGGCCGAACGGGACCGGTGCAAGCTCATCTGCCAGTCGCAGACCTTGGGCTATTACCATGTGATGCAGCAGAGGGTGAGCGCTGCGATCCCCCCCATGTCCCATAACCCTAGCACGGGGCCACCCCCTCCACACTGCGATGGGCGCTGAGGCCGTGCCGTGCCGCAGGTCGCCGATGGGACACCGTGCTCACCGGAGAGCACCGGGGTGTGCGTGCGGGGCCGCTGCATCCCCGCCGGCTGCGACCGCATCATTGGCTCCAAGAAGAAGTTTGATAAATGCATGAACTGCGGCGGCGACGGCACCGGGTGCACCAAAGTCTCCGGTTCCTTCACCAAACCTCGGTAAGTACCCGGTGGGGGGGGGGCGGGGAGCACCCATGGGTGCCACCGTCCAACCTCTCTGCACCCCACAGCTACGGCTACAACGACGTGGTGACCATCCCGGCGGGTGCCACGCACGTCCTGGTGCGCCAGGTTTCGGATCCTGGTGCCGAGGATGTTTTCCTGGCGCTCCGGCTCCCCGATGGTGAATCCCTGCTCAATGGTGGCTACATCCTGGTGCCATCGGCCACCGACGTGGCGCTGGGCAAGGGGATAACGCTGCGCTACAGCGGGGCCACCGCCACCACCGAGATGCTGGAGGGCCGGGGGCCGTTACCGCAACCGGTGGTGCTGCAGGCGCTGGTGGTGGACGAACGGAGACCACCGCGGTTGAAGTTCAGCTTCTTTGTGCCCCGCCGCCCATCGGAGGCCTGGGAGAAGCAGAAAGCCCAAATCCTGGAGGTCCTCAAGAGCCGCTGGCACCACCGGTAGCCACAGGAGAGCGATGGGATGACATTGATCCTGGTGGCACCATTGGGTTACTGATGGTGGCAGCCTCGGTGCTGAGCCCCAGCGCCGGTCAAAGCTTCTACCTCAGCCCTGGGCAGGCCCCGGGGTCCCCCGGCTATGGACACCCCCCCCCCCTCCCGGGTGCAGCCCCCAGCACCCTTATTTAAAGGTATTTATGGAGCTGGTGTGGTTGTGGTGATCCCCGTCGGCACCGTGAGCATCGTCCCCAGCACCCCAGAACAGGCACCAGCACCCCTGTGCTGAGGGAGCTTTATTGGGTAGCCCCAATTCCCTATGGAATGCAGCTCCTGACCCACCAGAGCCCCCTCAGCCCCCAGGCTCACCCTCTGTGGGGCCAGAATGTTGATGGTGGCATCGGGAAGTGGAATTGTGTTTGGGGACAGTGTGGGGTGTGAGGACCGGCCATGCCAGGAGCGGGGATTGGGATCTTTGCGTGGATCTGAGGGGATTTGGGAGGCTTTGGGGGGGATTTGGGGGAATTCATGGGGATTTGGGGAAGTTGAGGGAATTTGGGTGTATTTGAGATGTATATGGGGAGAATTTGGGAGGATTTGGGGGGATTTTTGAGGTTTAGGAGAAATTTGTGGGGAATTAGTGGGAATTTGGGATGTTGGGGGAGATTTGGGGGGATTTGAGGGGATTGGGGGGAATTTGGACGATTTGGAGGGAATTTGTGAGGGTTTAGGGGAGATCTGGAGATAATTTTGGTGTATTTGGGAGGTTTGGAGGTATTTGGGAGAATTTGGGAGGATTTGGGGGTATTTTTGAGGTTTAGGAGAAATTTGCTGGGAATTAGTGGGAATTTGGGATGTTGGGGGAGATTTGGGGGGATTTGAGGGGGATTTGGAGGGAATTCGGGAGATTTGGAGGGAATTTGTGGGCATTTGGGAGGTCTGGGGAGGAATTTGGGGGGAATTTGGCGGCGTGGAAGCGGCACTGGGGGCTGCGGGGAGGAGCCGCTTCCTTCCTACATCCAATCAGAGCGCGCCGTCACCGGGACGTCACCAATAAGGGCGTGGCCAACACGCGGAAGCAGGGTGGAGGCGTGCGCGGTTGCCGTGGAGACGACGCGGGAGGTGGAGCTTGCTCTGGGCACGCCCCCTACAGCCGGCTCCGGTGCCCCTGGGTCCTAGTGCCCGCCAGCGGGAGCTTCCACCAGGCTCCCCCCTCAACCCGGTCCTGCCCGAGCAGCCTCAGCCTGCCCGGGCTACCCCAGCCCCGGCACCAGCGTCCGCCCCAGGCTCCTGGGACCGCGTTCTCCATGGACAGCTCCAACTGGGACGCGGGGCTCGGCAACGGCAGGGCCAGGTGTTGCCGGCCCTAAGCCTCCTGCTCCAGAGGGGCCATGTTCCGACTTTGACCCCACCTTGACCCCGAATTCACCCTTCCTTGACCGCACCCTGACCTCATCGTAACCCTACCTTGACCTCAGCCTGCTCTCACCTTGACTCCACTCCCACCAGTTCCAGCTGGTGAGCCCCACCAGCGGCGCACAGAGCGGCCCCTTTAAGAGCGGCCTCTCCCGGGAGGCTCCGCCCCCTCACGCATGCGCGCTCCGCCCTCCCTCCCAGTGCGTCCCAAGATGGCGGCGCTGCCCAGGAGGGGCTGAGGCTCTTCCGCCGCTACCGGAGGGGCCGCGGCCGGGCCCGGCGCCTCCTCCCGCCCCGCAGCGCCCGCGATGCCGCCCGGCGCTCGGTGACGCGGCCCCCGCCATGCTCCGGCGGCTGCTGGAGCGGCCGCGCTCGCTGGCGCTGCTCGTCGGGTGCCAGTTCGCCTTCGTCGCCTACTTCTCACTGGGCGGGTTCCGCAGCCTCACGTCCCTCTTCGGCCGCGCCGCGGGGCCCGTCTTCGACTACTCCCGCACGCACGATGTGTACGCGAACCTCAGCCGGCTCCTGCCGAAGGAGCCCGCCCGGCCCGACCCCGCGCGGCCGCTGCCCTTCTGCCCCGAGCGCTCGCCCTTCCTCGGTGAGCGCCGGCGGGGCCCAGCAACGGGGGGCGGCGGGGAGAAACGGGCCCTAAGGTCCGGGGGGGGGGGGGGAGAACCGGTGTCTATGGGAGGAAGAGAAGGGTCCCGGCAAGAGAACTGGGCCCTGTGGGGTGGGAAACGGGGGCCACGGGAGGAGAACCGGACACTACAGAGCAGAACCGGCCCTTATGGGGGCAGAACTGGTTCTATGGGAGGAAGAGCAGGGACCCGGAAAGAGAACCGGCCCCTATGGGGGAAGAACCGGGCGCCCAATGGGAGATCCGGCCCTTTCGGGGACAAAATGAGCCCCAGTGGGGGAAGAACCGGGCACCCAGGGGGAGAACCGGCCCTTCCGGGGGCAGAACGGGCCCCAATGGGGGAAGAACCGGGCACCCAGGGGGAGAACCGGCCCTTCCGGGGGCAGAACGGGCCCCAATGGGGGAAGAACCGGGTACCCAGGGGGAGAACCGGCCCTTCCGGGGGCAGAACGGGCCCCAATGGGGGCAGAACGGGCATCCCCGAGCCAGAGAACCGGGCTCGCAGGGGAAGAAATGGCCCCGTGGGGAAGAATCCCCCCTGCAGGAGAAGAAGAACCGGTTCCGCAGGGAAGGAACCGGCAGAACCGGCCCATCCGGCTGCACTGGGGCCGCTCGCGTGGTTTAGGGCTATGGGAACAGCCCCAACCCTCCCCTTCCTCCCCCCCCAACCCCACAGTGGGGCCGCTGACGGTGACCTTCAGCCGGGTACCGACGCTGGAGCAGATCCAGGCCAAGAACCCGGCGGTGCGGGAGGGCGGCCGGTACCAACCCCCCGGCTGCGAGCCCCGGTCCCGCACGGCCGTCATCATCCCGCACCGCAACCGCGAGACCCACCTGGGCCACCTCCTCTACTACCTGCACCCCTTCCTGCAGCGCCAGCAGCTCCAGTACGGCATCTACGTGGTGCACCAGGTAAGCCTTGGGGGGGGGGACACACCGGCTTCGCACCGCTGTTACCGGCCCTATTACCGGCCCTATTACCGGCCCTGTTACCGGCCCTGTTACCGGCCCCGTTTCCTCCCCGCAGGCCGGTAACTCCACATTCAACCGAGCGAAGCTGCTGAACGTGGGGGTGAAGGAGGCGCTGAAGGATGAGGAATGGGATTGCCTCTTCCTGCACGACGTGGATCTGATCCCAGAGAACGATCACAACCTCTACACGTGCGACCCCTGGAACCCCAAACACGTCTCCGTGGCCATGAATAAGTTCGGATACAGGTGGGTGATGGAGGTGGAAGGGGCACTGGGGGACACTGGGAGCTGTGGCTCAGCACTGTGTGTCCCCCCCCATCACAGCCTGCCATACCCCCAGTACTTCGGGGGCGTCTCAGCGCTCACCCCGGACCAGTACATGAAGATCAACGGCTTCCCCAATGAGTACTGGGGCTGGGGAGGAGAGGACGACGACATCGCCACCAGGTAGGATATGGGAGGTGACAGGGGTGTCCCCATCCCATCACCACCATCACCCCCCCTCCGGTGACACCGCAGCACCGCATTGCAGGGTGCGCCTGGCCGGGATGAAGATCGCCCGCCCGCCCGTCTCCATCGGCCACTACAAGATGGTGAAGCACAAGAGTGACAAAGGCAACGAGGAGAACCCCCACAGGTTGTGGGGTGCCCATTGGGGTTTGGGGAGGGGAGAACCCCGGTGGTGACGTCCTCTTCCCTCCTCCTTTGGTCCAGGTTCGACCTCTTGATCCGCACGCAGCGGATGTGGACGCAGGACGGGATGAACTCGCTGAGCTACGTGCTGCTGGCCAAGCACCTGCACCCGCTCTACACCAACCTCACCGTGGACATCGGCACGGACCCGCGCGCCGCTCGCCGTGCCCCGGCCCCCGGCCATGAGGGGCAACGGCACCGGAGCAGCACCAGCCTCTTCCGGGAGGAGATGCTCCGCAAACCCCCCCGGGACCCCGTGGCCTGGGGGGACCGAGGGCTCGCATTGACCCCACACCGGCCACCGGCACCCAACAGCACCCAACCGGCCCTGGGCATCACCCAGCGCAGCCCTAAGGGTGCTGGGGACGGTGGCACCGATGTGGTGGTGCAGGATGAGGGGATGGCAATGGCCCGTGGGGACAACCATAGCCTGGCGCAGGGCACCCGCTAACCCCGGCCCCCATTGGACTCTGGGCACCGGGAAGGGCCCCTCCGCATCCCGGAAAGCTCCGTTGGGAGCTGCCGGTGCCGGGGGAGGCCGCGGGGGCCCGGCCCCCCGTTATTTATTCTATTTATGAGCCGCTCCCTGGACCTTTATAAGAGTTTTTCAATTAAAACATACACTTTGTCCTATGGCCGTGGGTGCTGGAGGGGGGTTCAGCGCTGCGGCCCCAGCAGCCGCTCCACGGCCACCTTGGCACTGGCGATGCAGTCATTGACGGAGACGCCGCTGTAGGAGGCTCCAATGAGGCTCAGGGGCAGCCGGTGCTCGGCCAGGAAGCGGCTGATGCGTTCTGCAGGGCCAGGATGGGTGCTGGGTGCCAGGGGAGGGGGCACTGGGTGACCCCCAGCTCCTCAGCACCCACTTACCTATGCGCTGCCAATGGCCCAGTGTGTACTGCGGGATGCAGGCCTAGGGGGGAACAGTTAATGAGTCCTATGGGACCCCCCCACTATATTCCTGCTGCTGATGGGTGCTGGCACCCACCTGGTGCACCCTGACGATGGAGCAGGTCGGGGCCAGCTCCAGCCCCAGCTGCTCCTTCACAGCCGCCTGTGCCCGGTGCAGCAGCGGCTCCGGTGCGGCCGTCGCCGGATCCCCAAAGCTCTGCTCGAACCAGGCGCCTCCCAGCATCACCTATTGGCACCGTGAGTGTTTCCAGGGATTGGTACCCGGATACAGCCCAATCCCGGCCCCGGTGCTCACCGTGAGCCGCAGCGAGGCCGCGGTTGTGCCGTTGTGTTCAGGGAAGGCCACCGAGTCGTAGACGATGCCCAGGAGGGACCCATCCTCTGAGGAAGGCACCAAGTGGCCGAAACCCTGGGCAGGAGCAGGCTGGGGTCAGCGTTGGGTGCTGGGAGCACCCTCAGGGCCACCCTTGGGTGCTGCTGCTCTCACCGTGACGGGCAGCGCGGCGCCCTCGTACTGCAGGTTCACCACAGCCACCGACACCGCCGGGATGCGCCGCAGCTCCTGCGCCAGCGCCGCGGCCTCGGCCGGCAGCGCCTCAGCCAGCGCTGGGGACAGGGGGGACAGGAGTGAGGATGGGGATGCAGACAGCGGTGTCCCCTCCCCGTCCTGGTGGCATCCAGAGGTGGCAGCACCGGCAGCCAACATCCACCTGCAGCCGGGAGGGCGCTGACTACGTGGTCGGCTGTGACGGTGCCATCGGGCAGGGTGAGCTGTGGGGAAGGAGGATGGTGATGGGGGATGCGGTGATGGGGGGCACGAAGACATGGGGACAGGGATATGGTGATGGGAGACACAGGAATGCAGTGATGGGGGATGTGGTAATGGGATGCAGGCATGGGGACACAGATGTGATGGGAGACACGAAGACATGGGGACAGAGATATGGTGATGGGAGACACAGGAATGCAGTGATGGGGGATGTGGTGATGGGATGCAGGCATGGGGACACAGATGTGATGGGAGACAACAGTGATGGGGGACACGAAGACATGGGGACAGGGATATGGTGATGGGAGACACAGGAATGCAGTGATGGGGGATGTGGTGATGGGATGCAGGCATGGGGACACAGATGTGATGGGAGACAACAGTGATGGGGGATGTGGTGATGGGGGACACGAAGACATGGGGACAGGGATATGGTGATGGGAGACACAGGAATGCAGTGATGGGGGATGTGGTGATGGGTACTCAGGGATGCAGTGATGGGGGACATGGATGAGGATGCAGGCATGGGGACACAGATATGGTGATGGGAGACAACAGTGATGGGGGATGCGGTGATGTGGGACACGAAGATGCAATGATGGGGACACAGGGATACAGTGATGGGAGACAGTGATTGGGGAACACGGACGAGGAAGCAGGGATGGGGACACAGGGATGTGGTGATAGGAGACACGAAGACATGGGGATGGGGATGCAGGGATATGTGGTTGGGGACATGGGGACAGGGTTGTGGTGATGGGAGACACAGGAATGCAGTGATGGGGGGCACAGTGATGGGGGATGTCGTGATGGGTACTCAGGGATGCAGTGATTGGGGATAAGGATGAGGATGCAGGGATGGAGACACAGGGATGCAGTGATGGGAGACAGTGATGGGGGATGTGGTGATGGGTACTCAGGCATGCAGTGATGGGGGATACGGATGAGGAAGGAGGGATGGGGACACAGGGATGCGGTAATGGGTCCTCAGGGATGCAGTGATGGGGGACACGGATGAGGAAGCAGGGATGGGGACACAGGGATGTGATGATGGGTACTCAGGGATGCAGTGATGGGGGGCAAGGATGGGGACACAGGGATGCGATGATGGGCACTCAGGGATGCAGTGATGGGGGGCAAGGATGAGGATACAGGGATGGGGACGCAGGGATGCAATAATGGGCACTCAGGGATGCAGTGATGGGGGACACGGATGAGGATACAGGGATGGGGCCACAGGGATGCGATGATGGGCACTCAGGGATGCAGTGATGTGGGGCAAGGATGGGTCCTCAGGGATGCAGTGATGGGGGACACGGATGAGGATACAGGGATGGGGACACCGGGATGCGGTGATGGGTACTCATGGATGCAGTGATGGGGGCAAGGATGGGGACACCGGGATGCGGTGATGGGTACTCAGGAATGCAGTGATGGGGGGCAAGGACGGGTACTCAGGGATGCGGTGATGCAGGACATGAGCGCAGGGATGCAGGAACGCAGTGATGCCCCCCCCCTCCCCAAGGTCCGCACCTCCCAGCGGCCATCGTGGCAGCGGCGCAGGCTGCGCAGGCGCTGGTGGCACCGCAGCTCCACGCCGCGCTCCCGCAGGAACTCCGCCAGCGCCTCGGGCAGCGTCTCCATCCCGCCCCGCAGCGACCACTGGCTCCAGCGCTCGGCCCGCGCCCGGCGGCTCAGCCCCGACTCGGCTCCGCTCTCAGCGGAGCCCAGCGCCAGCCCCAGCAGCACCGAGCGCCGGCGCCGCTCGGCCTGGAAGAGCAGCGGGAAGCAGGAGCGGACGCTCAGCGCCCGGCAGTCCCCGGCGAACACCCCCCGGCACACGCTGTCCACCGCGATGTCCGCCACCTGCGGGCGCACGCTGCGGTGAGGCCCGGCTCCGCCCGCGCCTGCCGGGCCGCGATAACCGGTATCACCCCCGGAGCACGCACGCACCTCCCGGCCGAAGCGGCGCAGAGCGAACGCGTGGATGCTCTCGTCCGGCTCCGTCCCCGCCGGTGCCAGGAGGTCCCGGAGCCCGCTCCAAAGCAGCGCTCGGGAGAACGGCGGCACCGGCCGCAGCAGCGCCCTGCGGACAGAGGGGGTCAGGGGGTGCGGGACCGCGGTGGCACCGCAACGGGGCAGCCCCGGGCACCTACCCCAGGCCTGAGGGCAGCTTGTGAAGGGCCCCGGCCACGTAGAGGAAGCGGTTCCTGGAGGCAGGGTGGTCCCCGGGCACGGGCAGCACCGCACCGGCCAGGCCGAGCTCCGAGACCTGCGGGGATGGGGAGGAGACGGACACGGACCTGCCCCGGGGCACCCCGGACTCCACACGGGGACCCCATCACAAACCAAGGGCCCCAGCACCCACCGAGGGTCCCCGAAACGCACCCGAGACCCCCCCATAGGCCCAGGGACGCCCCTTTCCCCGTTACCATGTGCAAGGTGTCCGCTCCCGCCGCACCTCCAGGCCGGATCCCCCTCGGGCCATGCTCGAACACGGCCCCGTCGGCAGCTCGGGTGCTCTGCAGCCACCCCCCGAGGCGGGCGCCGGCCTCCAACAGCAGCACCTGCGGGACCGCAACCGGTAACACCGGGATCGCACCGGTAACACCGGGATCCCCCCCCCACGGTCACCCCGCGCTCACCTTGGGCGGATGCGGGCCGCGGGTCAGGTGGTAGCAGGCGGCCAGGCCGCTGATGCCGCCCCCCACCACGGCCACGGTCGGTGCCATGAAGGCCCCGGACCGGCCCCGCCACCGGAGACGCCGCCGCGTCCCGCCCCGCGCCGCCAGGGAGCGGCAGGCTCCGCCCCCTCTCCTGATAAGGACAAAAGGCGGGACTAAGGACGCGCTGAGCCAATGGGACGACGCTGCGCACCGGGAGGGGCGGGGCTAAACGGCGCAAACCCCTCCTCCTCGCCTCACCAGCCAATCAGCCTCCTCCGGCACGCCGCGCCCCCCGGTCCTGGTAAAGGGCGGGGCTAAATCCGCCGAGAACCAATAGCGCGAAGCCGACGCCTGACAGACAGGACGGCGACAGAACGGCGGCAAGCCCCGCCCCCGTGTCAGCCAACCAATCAAACGACCTTCATGAAGCCACGCCCGCTGCCGTTTCGAGCCATCGAAGCCCCGCCCCTTCATCATTAGCCCCACCCCCTCCCCATGGCCCGGCCCCGCCCCCCTCCCCCCAAACTGCGGCTTTTTGGGTGTTTTTCTTAATAAATTTATTGACAAAAGCCCGGGGGGGGCCGCGGCCGCCCCTCCCCCTCCCCATCGGGGTCCTTGGGGGGGGCTGGGGGGGGGAGCCCCCACTTTGGGTGCTCCGGGGGGGGGTCAAGGCCGGCGGGCGAGCGGCTCCTCCAGCTCATAGAAGAGGACGTAGCCCTCGCTGGATGGGACCTGGTTCTCGCTGATGGGCGAGACCCTGTGGGGGCACCGTCAGCAACCGGGGGGGGGGTCAGGGGTATGGGGAGGGGGGACAGGAGACAGGGACACGGATTGGGAATGGGGGCATAAACATGGGAAGAGGGGACATGGGCGCAAGGTTATGGACATGGGATGGGGGGATGCAGTCATGGGGCAGGGGACGGGGATGCAGGGAAGGGAAACGGGGAGAGGGGCATTGACATGGCCCAAGGGAGGGGGGCAGAGACACGGGGGGGTCAGGGATATAGAGAAGGGGATGTGGCCCAGGGAAGGGGTTAAGAGGGATTTGGGGGACATTGGGGGGGGTGGGAGGCAGATTTAGGGAGGTCAAGGGCTCTTGAGAGGGAATTGGGGGTGAATTAAGGGTTTGGGGGGGATGTGGACACAAGGAGGGGGGACACGGACCCGATGGCACCTACCGGGAGTCATTGTAGACGCGCCAGCCGGCCGGGTCCCGGCACAGCGCCGTGTAGTGGCCATAGTGAACACTGCCCGAGTGGTTGCAGAGGGCGTAGAGGGTGTAGATGGGGGTGCCTATGGGGAGGGGATGCCAGGTTCAATGTGTGGGTACCCCGGCCCCCCTATTCCACACCTCAATGTCCCCCCCCCCAGGGGTCCTCACCCGCCTTCTCGCTGGCGAACTCCCGCAGGTTGAGCTGCTGCAGGGGGAAGTCCACGAAGACGGAGCATTTCTTGATGGAGTAGCGGGTGGTGGAGAACCGGTTCAGGTCTGGGACGGGGGGGGGCATTAAGGGGAAATGTGGCAGCACTGGGAGCACCCCCCCTTTTCCCCCCCAACCTTCCCATGGCAAAGGATACGGAGCACCAGGATGCGAGGGAAGCGCTGGATCGTCAACTTCTTGGTGCTCCGTGTCCGCTGCCGGCACTTGTCACAGACCTGTGGGTGGCACCGCATTGGTGAGGGGGGGACGGGGGGCACTGGGATGCGATGGGACACACAAACACCCCCCCAAACCCCCAGTTCTCACCGGGGCGTTCTCTGAGTCGAGCTCTTCCTCCTTGGTGAAGAGGCTGAAGCAGTCGTGGAGCGAGACCCGGCCCCCGGCAAAGCTTTTCTGGATGGGGAAATGTGGGGGATAAAGGGGAGCCTTAAAGGGGAAAAAAGGGGGTCTGGGGGTGGCAAAACGGTAGGGGGGGGTCAGCCCCATTCCTACCTTTGGGATGGGAAGGGAGAGATCACAGAAGACCTCGAAGGTGGTGGAGCGGTAACCGCACGCCTGGCACTTGAGGCAGCTCTTCAGTTGTCCCACAAAGAGGTCTGGGGGTGAGGATGGGATGAGATGGGATGGGGAGAGGTCAGAGGGGCCCCCCCAAGGGGTGCTTTGGGGTGCAGGAGGACCCCGGAAGTGCTCACCCACGATTTTGCTGTCCTCCCTCTCCAGGTACCGCTTCCACATCACGTTGGCGCGTTCGTCGTCGCTGTGGGGCGAGAGGTGGGAGCTGCGGCCAGGGGGGCACCCCCAGAACCCCCCCTTACTTCATGTGTGTGTTCCCCCACCCCATAACTCACCTCAGCCCCTCGGGGTCCTCCAGTGTGGGGGGCCGCCGCGTGTCCGAGAGGATGCTGGGGGTCCGGCGGCCTTTGCGGTTGATCTCCACGTGGAGCCGGTCCATGAAGAACTTGAGGAACTCCTGTGCATCCTGTTGGCTGCAATAGGGGATGCACACGGAACCATCGCACCCCCGGACCCCCCCCAATGGAGCTGGGGATGCTGTGGGGTGTGTGTGTGGGGGGGTGAAACCTCACCTGTACCCAGTGAAAGAGGGGACGTACTTCTGGAAGACGGCCTTGAAGCGCCCGGGGTTGACGGCTTCGGCCGCATCCGGATGCCAGAGCGCGGCGATGACATCGGCGAAGGCTGCAGGGACGGGGGGGGGTTTAGATCATGCCTAAAGGCATGGGGGGGTGTTTGGGGTTAGGGGGGGGATGCTCCCATCCCACCTTCAGTGAGCTCCTGGGGGCCGCGGGGCTGCTCCTGCTGGAAGTCCCGGCGCAGGCAATAATCCCGCAGGGGTTTGGTGCTGCTCAGGCACTGCAGCACCGCGTTCATGAAGCACTGCGGGGACAGCGGTGGTGCCACGGCCCCGCCACGCCACGGGGACCCCATTGGGGCTGGGGATACCCCTTGTTGTGGGGTGCACCGGCACGGGCTGCACTTACCGTGTTACCCAGGTTCCTGAGGCCGACGTGGCCGGAGCCCAGCAGCAGTGTGTGATGGGGCTGTGGGGACACAAAGGGACACGGTGAGCACCGTCCCCCCGCCGTCACCCATCCCCACAGCCACCCCCCAGCCCTGGCACCTCTCCGGTGACGAGGAGCAGCCCCATGACCGCTGCATGAGCCACGGATTCAGCCACGGCGGCAGCGCGGCCACGGGGCTTTGGCAGCAGCCGCTGTGGCAGCACCGCCAGCCCCGGCATGGCCCCGGCACCGGCTCCACCGGGTCCCTGCTGCCTCCCAACCGTGCCTGATCCGATTTCCCCCGGCTATTCTGGGCCGCAGCTCAGGGGGATTAATTAGTGCCTGAGCCACGGCGAGGGCACCAGGCACCGGAGCGGGGACAAACACCCACCGGCAACAGGGGGCAAAGCAGCACCAGGGATGGGCACCGCAATCCCATGGGATTTCAGGGCTTTAATTGCCATGTATTTGCCATGGCTGCTCTGGGAATGGGGATGGCAACCAAAGAGGACTGGAGCAGGGAGAGGTGAGGCCCCGGTGGGGATGAAGGGGACAAATCCTGATGCTCTTACTGCTGCCTTCTCCTCAGGCCGGGCGGGCAGGGGGGCTCTGCCCAGCGCGGGGCTGCCGGGCACCGGGATGGGGTACGTGGGGTCGGGCACAGCGCGAGTCCGGGGGCAGCCCTCAGGCCGCACCGAGAGCAGGGGGACCCCGGGCTTCCCGTCCAGCCCCGGGGCCACATTGACCCTGCGCAGCGACGAGCTCCTACGCAGTGCCAGCGCTCCGGCACTCAGCTGGTGCCCGCAGTCCCTCAGCACCAGCCGGCTCAGCACCGCCGCCACGTCCTCGGCGCGGCCGCCGCCACCGCCTTGGCTCAAGTCACCGATGCTGATGGATTTGGAACGGGCCAGGTTGCTCCTCCGGCGCTCGGCTCCGCTGGGTAGGGAGAAGGAGGCGCTGCCCGGCACTGCCTGCGGGGAGCCGGGGACCCGCACGCCGTGGTCGGCCTTGACCGGACCGCGCCGGCACGTGGCGCCGCGTGCCGCATCCCCGCGCTTCGAGGCCCGGCCCCGCTCCAGCTCCAGCTTCTTGCTGCGTTCATCCAAAGGCCCCGGCCGCGGTGGCAGGAGCCGGAGCTTGGGTGCCGGGGAGAGGCCGTTGGCGGAGGCCATGGCAGCGGCGCGGCGCTCCTGGCTCAGCGCCCGGTGCCCGCTCGGTAGCTTGGCGGTGGTGGTGGTGGTGGCGGCGGCGGCTTTGGGCTGCGAGGTGATAACGGCGTGGTCCCGGGCGCGGCCGCCGCGGTGCTCCGAGGCCTGGGGCATGGTGGGGAGCGGAGCCCTGCGGGGACAGCAATGGGGGGATGCCAAGGGGGGGGCACCGGGAATGGGGAATGGGGCTGGAGGGGAGGGGACACGGACCCACCTCTGCCACCGCCGCCGCCGCCTTCCCCGCTCACAGCCCCCCGCGGGCAGCGGCCGGGCGGAGGGTCCCGTCGGCGGGGGCCCTGCGGCACAAGGAGAGACGCGGTCGGTCATTGATGGGGGGGGAAAGGAACGGCGGCCGGAGCCGGGGTTGAGTCACGGAGGCTTCCCCCCACCACCACCGCTGGAGCACCGGAGGGGAGGGGGGGGTGCTCAGCCCCGGTAGCAGCCCCAACCCCGCCGTTGCCAGGCGGGGCGAAGGGCCGCGGGGGCCGCTCATCGGTCTCCGGTTTCCCACCCCCTCCGCGCTCACCGGACACCGGTCACCTCCCCCCTCCCTTCCCCACCCCTCCCGGTACCGGAGCTCCGGGAACCCCCCCCTTCACCGCCGCCGCCGCACCTCCCGCGGGCCGCCATGGCAACAACTCCCGCAGCCCCCGCCGCCATCTTTGTTCCTCCCTCCCTCCCGCCCAAAGCCCCACCCCCGGCGGCTTCGCTGCACGCACTGCGCATGCGCCGCAGACGCCAGGCCACGCCTCCCAACGCCTCCGCCTGTGTCGCTATGGAAACGTAGTGGCGTCTCCCCCCCCCCCCGCTCTTAAAGGCGCCGCCGAGCCGCTCTTCTTAAAGGGACAGCGCACTCTGGGACTGTGTTATTGTAGGGTCGCACCAAGCAACGGCAATGCCGGGGTGAAAGAGTTTATTGAGGGGGCAAATAGTGGGTGGCAGCAGCGGGGAGAGGGAGGATGGGGGGGGAACAGGGGGGCTACACCCCCCAATCCCCCTTTGGTCACTTCTCCTTGTGCTGGATGATTCCTTTGGCCACCAGGTCCGGGATCTCCACCGCCAGCCAGGGCCCGAGCTGTGGGGATAAAGGATGAGCAGCCATAAGGACCAGTCCCCCAAACCGAGGGGAACCCCCCCCAAACGGAGTATCCCCACACTTCCTCCCCCCCCACAACTCACCCCTAGGGCCATCAGATGAGCCAAGCCGAATTTGGGGACATTACGGGCCCAGAGGGGCTTGAAGTGGTCGCTGAGGCAGATCTTGCCACCCCTGGGGGGGATATAGGGGGTCAGCACCGCAGGGACACCCCCCCGGGGGGACCCCCCCTTTGCTATGGGCCCCTGCCAACCTGTACATCTTGGCTGTCTTCCCGTCCAGCTCCGGGATGGCGATCTCAGGGGCGGTGTTGGGGTACGTAACCGGGATCTGGGGGGGGTGACACGGGGAGGGGAGGGGGGAGTCAGCACCCCCGGACCCCCCCCCCCAACTTGCTTGTCCATTCCCCCCCCTCCCATCCATGCTCACATCAAACTCGATGGCGAACTCGTACTTGAGCAGCTCGTGGATGTACCAGCACCTCCCGAACCATCTGTAACACACCGGGGGGGTGTCAATCACCGGGACCCCCCCACCGGGACCCTCCCGCTCACCCCCCGTCACCCACCGGGTGCCCTCGGCGTTGGACTCCAGGCGGAACCAGTCGTTATCGGCGCGTTTGTTGTTCTCCACGTACTGGGAGAAGGGGGAACACGACGTGAATCGAGGGGGAACGGGACACGGGGGACACAGGGAATGGGGGGGACCGGAGCGAAAAGGGGGTGGGAACAAAACCGAACCGGGAGAGGAACAGGAGCAAAGGGAACCGGACTCGAGGGGTGACACGGACCGGGGGGGAACCGGAACCGAGGAGGGCATCAGAGCGGGGGGGGGAACCGGACACGGGAGGAACCAGATCGGGGGGGAAACCGGATGGGCCCTACCCCGGTACCTGTATGAGGGCCCGGTACTCCTCCTTCAGGCGCTGCGCCCACCCATCGCGGTCCCGCGGCCCCGCCGCCGTCCGCAGCAGCGGCAGCTCCGCCACGGCGCGCCGCACCGCCTCCTCCGCCATGGCCGAGCCGGAACACCGCCATCTTGGCTGGGGGCGGAAGTGACGCTGGAGGCCGCGCAGCCATTTTCGTTAAGGGCGTGATGCGCCCGCGGAGGGGGCGGGTGTGGGCGCCGCCATCTTTACTACGGGCATGGGCGGACCTTGACGCTCCCGCGGCGCCGCCATCTTTAGTGCTGGCGGGGCTGAGCTGCGCGGGGCGGGGCTCGGCCGCCTCCTCCCGGCCCGGGGGTGCCCCCGTGTGCCCCCAGTCCCGTGACCCTGTTCCCATCTCCCCCACTTCTCATTCCCCCCAAATCCATTCCCCCATTCCCATCCCCCCAATTCCCATCCCCCCCAACTCCTTGTCCCTCCAATTCCCATCCCTCCATTCCCATCTCCCCTAATTCCTATCTCTCAATTCCTATTTCTACATTCCCATCGCCCCCAATTCCCATATCCCCTAATTCTCACCCCCTAATTCTCACCCCCCAATTCTATTCCCCCAATTCCCATACCCCTCATTCCTGTTCTCCCTATTCCCATCCCCCTAATTCCCATTTCTCCATTCCCTTCCCCCAGTTCCTATCCCCTAATTCCTGTGTCCCCAGTTCCCATCCTCCCATTCCCATCCCCCCCAATTCCCATGTCCCTAATTCCCATCCCCCCAATTCTATTCCCCTAATTCCTGCCCCCACAACTCCCATCCCCCCAAAGCCATTTCCCCATTCCCATCCCCCAATTTCCATGTCCCCCAGTTCCCATCCCCCCAATTCCTGTCCTCCCATTCCCATCCCTCCAATTCCTATCCCTCAATTCCTATTTCTCCATCCCCATCCCCTCCAATTCCTGTCCCCCCCAATTCCCACGTCCCCTAATTCCCACCCCCCCAATTATATTCCCCAATTCCCATCCCCCTCATTCCCGTCCCCCTAATTCCCATCCCTCCAATCCCTTCCCAGAGTTCCTATCCCCTAATTCCTGTGTCCCCAATTCCCATCCTCCCATTCCCATCTCCTCTAATTCCCATCCCTCCATTCCCATCTCCCCTAATTCCTATCCCTCCATTCCCATCCCTCCAATTCCTATTCCTCAGTCCCTGTATCTCCATCCCCATCCCCTCCAATTCCTGTCCCCCCCCAATTCCCACGTCCCCTAATTCCCACCCCCCTCATTCCCATCCCCATAATTCCCATCCCTCCATTCCCTTCCCCCAGTTTCTATCCCCTAATTCCTGTGTCCCCAATTCCCATCCTCCCATTCCCATCCCCCCAATTCCCATGTCCCTCATTCCCATCCCCCCAATTCTATTCCCCTAATCCCTGTCCCTCCCATTCCCACCCCCCCAATTCCCATCCCTCCAATCCCTTCCCCCAGTTCCTATCCCCTAATTCCTGTGTCCCCAATTCCCACCCTCCCATTCCCACCCCCCCAATTCCCATCCCTGCATCCCCATCTCCCTTAATCCCTACCCCTCATTCCCACCCCCATCCCCACAGCACAGGGGTCACAGCAGCAACTCAAGGGGTTTATTGGGGGGGGGGCAGCAGTGGGGTCCGGTGGCCACGGGGGGACGGGGGGCTCAGGGCTGCTCCTTGCTCTTGCCCAGGTCCAGGAGGGAGGAGAAGAGCCCCAGGACGTTGCTCCGGAGCTCCTGCGCCAGCGGCGTCAGCTGCTTGTTGGCCCGGTCCAGGTACGCCCTGGGGATGGGAAAAGGGGATGGGAGAGAGGATGGGAGCGGGGAAGGGGAAGGGGATGGGAATGGGAATGGGAGCGGGGATGGGGAAGGGGATGAGATCAGAGGTGGGGAAGGGACCAGGGATGGGGATGGGAGCGGGGACGGGAATGGGACCGGGGATGGGGAAGGGACCGGGGTTAGGGAAGGGACCAGGGATGGGACCGGGGACGGGGATGGGACCGGGGATGGGGAAGGGACAGGGGTTAGGGAAGGGACCAGGGATGGGGAGGGAAGCGGGGGCAGGGATGGGACCGGGGAAGGGACTGGGTATGGGGAAGGGACCGGGAATGGGAATGGGAATGGGACCGGGAATGGGACCGGGGATGGGGAAGGGACCGCGGTTAGGGGAGGGACCAGGGATGGGGATGGGAGCGGGGACGGGGATGGGACCGGGGAAGGGACTGGGGATGAGGAAGGGACCGGGGATGGGGAAGGGACCGGGGATGGGGAAGGGACCGGGGATGGGGAAGGGACCGGGGATGGGGATGGGATCGGGGATGGGACCGGGGATGGGGATGCAGGGGATGGGACCGGGCATGGGGATGCAGCCCCCGTTCCCCCCATCCCCTCCGTACTCTGCCTGGCTCCGCATCTCCTCCACCTGCAGCCTCTGGGGCAGGTCCTTGGTCATGAAGTCCGAGAAGCTCTGGAGGTGGCGGCTGAAGAAGTCCTCGGCCGGGACCTCGGCAGCGCCCTCGGCCGGGGCCTCCCGCCGGGACAGCGCAGCCTGGACGGGACCCAGCACCAGCAGCAGCAGCAGCACCGCGCCCGTCACCGCCTTCATCTCGCCGGGCTGGGGGGCGCAGGGCGCGGGGCGGTGTCACCATGGGGCTGCCCCATAGGGCCGGGGTCCCCGCCAGCCCCACAGCCGCAGGGTCCGCTCCTGCCCCATCCCTGCCCCACGGCCCCATTCCTGTCCCATCCCATCCCATCCCACAGCCCCGCAGCTCCACTGGCACCATCCTGCCCCTTCCCAGCCCCACAGCTCCATCCCTATCCCATTCCAGCCCCGTGGCTCCAGCCCTTCCCCGTCCTGCCCAGCACAAGTGCCCCTCACCTGGGCAGGACTCGGGGCTGTGGGGGCCTCTCGGGGGCTGTTTTTATCCCTCGGGATCAGCTCCCACCCCCCGGCCGGTGGGGCCGGGCCTGGGTAAACACTATGGGGGTAAGGGTCGTGTGGGGGCCGCCCCTTCTTGGCCTCACCAGGGTGGCCCCACACCCTTGTCCTGTCCCTATGTCCCTGTGTCCCATCCCCCTGTCCCAATGTCCTATCCCCGTGTCGCATATCCCATCCCCGTGTCCCCACATCCCATTCCCGTGTCCCCATGTCCCATCCCCGTGTCCCCACATCCCATCCCTGTGTCCCCGTGTCCCCATATCCCATCCCCGTGTCCCCATGTCCCATCCCTGTGTCCCCACATCCCATCCCCGTGTCCCCACATCCCATTCCCGTGTCCCCATATCCCATCCCCGTGTACCCATGTCCCATCCCTGTGTCCCCACATCCCATCCCCGTGTCCCCACATCCCATTCCCGTGTCCCCACATCCCATTCCCGTGTCCCCATATCCCATCCCTGTGTCCCCGTGTCCCCACATCCTATCCCTGTGTCCCCACATCCCATCCCCGTGTCCCCACATTCCATCCCCGTGTCCCCACATCCCAACCCCATGTCCCAGTGTCCCATCCCTGTGTCCCCATATCCCATCCCTGTGTCCCCACATCCCATCCCTGTGTCCCCATATCCCCATGGCACAAGCAGGACATGGATACTGGGTGCCAGTGACCCACGATTCGGGCTGGGGGGCGCCCCATAGCACGCTGAGCACTGGGACCCCCAGAGCAGCCCCATGCCCCCCCACCCTCTGCCCCACACCAGGATCCCAGCTGGGGGGGGGGGGGGCACCCATGGGACCTGCACCCCCTTTGTGACCGAGGGGCAAAGGTCGGTGCCCGCCCTTATCACTGACCCTCGGCCTCCAACGTGACGGTGACGCGGAGCGGGGGGGTCCCGGGGGGGGGGGGGGGCACGGACCCCGGGGTCAGCCCCGGGCCGGTCGGGGACACGCGGGCAAAGGGCGGGGGGGCGGCACCGGGACCTCCCTGTGCCCCCGGGGACACGGGGGGGGGGAAGCGGGGGTTCCCGGGGGGGGCCACTGGGGTCACGGAGGGGGAAGGACATGGGAGGGACACACATGAGGGAGAGGAGATGGGGGCGGGTGGGGTTTGGGGGTACATAGGGGGATAAAAGGGGGTTGAAGGGGGAATAAGAGGGAATTGGGACACAGCCAGGATGTGGGGAGGGAATGGGACAAGAGGGGGTCCAAGGATGCAGGGAGAGGGCGATAAAGGGGATACCCCTGACCGGGGCACAGGGATGCGATGGAGGGGGGGGGCACACACACGGGAGGAGCCGGAACGCGGCACCCCCGGAACCTCCCTGCTCGGGTCCTGAGTTCCGGGGGGGAACACAGCGAGGAGCGGCCCCGCCCCTGAGGCTCAGCCAATGAGCAGCGAGCTCTGCCCGCACCCAACATGGCGGCGGCGGCTTCGGGCGGGCGCGGCCTTCAGAAGCCGCTTCCGGTGGTGGCGGCGCCCGCGATGGCGGCGCCCGGTGGGGCCGGGGCCGCGGTTGGAACCTGGACCGGGACCGGGCGGGTTTAGCTCCGGGACCCGGCCATGGGCAACGTGTTGGGCCCCGCCGCGCCCCGCGCCCCGCGCCGGGGGGAGCCGCTCGGCAGCCCCGGGAGCTTCGATGAGCTGCACCGGCAGTGCAAAGGTGCGGCGGGGGGCACCGGGGGCAGGCTCCGGAGCGGCTCCGGGCCCCGCTCACCCCGGCCCCCGCTCCGCAGAGGTGTTCCCGCAGCAGATGGAGGGGGTGAAGCTTTTGGTCACCAAGACCCTGAGCAGCCACTTCCAGGTCAGGGAAGGAGGGGGTGTCCGTATATGGCCCCCCCGTGTCCGTGTCCCCCCCGTGTCCGTGCCCCCATGTCCGTATCCCCCCCATGTCCCTGTCCATATCCCCTCTGTATCCGTGTCCCCCCGTGTCTCTGTCGCTGTCTCTGTCCTATCTCCTTCCATCCATGTCCCTGCTCCCATGTCCCTGCCCCCCCGTGTCCATATCCCCCCGTGTCCCTGTCCATATCCCCCCCATGTCCATGTCCCCCCTGTGTCCGTGTCTGTCTGTGTCTCCCCCATGTCCTTCCGTGCCCATATCCCCCCCGTGTCCCTGTCCCCCCATGTCCCTGTCCCCCCGTGTCCCTGTCCCCCCGTGTCCCTGTCCCCCCCCCCCCCATGTCCCCCGTGTCCCTGCCCCCCCATGTCCATATCCCCCCGTGTCCCTGTCCATATTCCCCCCGTGTCCATGTCCCACCCATGTCCGTGTCCCCCCTGTGTCCGTGTCGTTCCCCCCATGTATCCCATATCCCCCCGTGTCCCTGTCCCCCCGTGTCCCTGTCCCCCCGTGTCCCTGTCTCCCCCGTGTACCTGTCCCCCCGTGTACCTGTCCCCCCGTGTCCCTGTCCCCCCCGTGTCCCTGTCCCCCCGTGTCCCTGTCCCCCCCGTGTCCCTGTCCCCCCCTCCCCTCCCTGTCTCCATATCCCGCCGTGTCCCTGTCCATATTCCCCTGTGTCCGTGTCTGTGTCTCCCCATGTCCTTCCATGCCCATATCCCCCCCATGTCCGTGTCCCCATGTTCGTTCCCCCTGTGTCCATATCCCCCCGTGTCCCTGTCCATATCCCCCCCATGTTCCTGTTCCCCCTGTGTTCCTGTCCCCCTCCATGTCCCTGTCCCCCTGGTGTCCCTGTCCCCCTGGTGTCCCTGTCCCCCCCGTGTCCCTGTCCCCCCTGTGTCCCTGCCCCCCGTGTCCTGCCCCCTATGTCCCTGTCCCCCTCATGTCCCTGTCCCCCCCATGTCCATGTCCCCCCACTGAGGTTCTGTCCCCACAGGTGACCCACACCATTCACATGAGCACGTTGGGACCCTCCGGTTACCGCTTCAACGCCACCTTTGTGGGTGACCGGCAGCTCAGCCCCACCGAGGTGAGGCCCGGGGGGTACCGGCAAGGCCCAGTACCTGTCACCCCCCTTTATCACTCCCCCTTTATCACTCCCCCTTTATCACTCCCCCTTTATCACTCCCCCTTTATCACTCCCCCTTTATCACCCCCCCTTTATCACCCCCCCTTTATCACCCCCCCTTTATCACCCCCCTTTATCACCCCCCCTTCATCACCCCCCCTTCATCACCCCCCCTTCATCACCCCCCCTTCATCACCCCCCCTTCATCACCCCCCCTTTATCACCCCCCTTTATCACCCCCCCTTTATCACCCCCCCTTTATCACCCCCCCTTTATCACCCCCCTTTATCACCCCCCCTTTATCACCCCCCCCACCCCCCACCCCCCCCACCCCCCCCCCCCACCCCCCACCCCCCACCCCCCCCCCCCACCCCCCCCCCCCCCACCCCCCACCCCCACCCCCCCCACACCCCCCCCACCACCCCCCCCACCCCCCACCACCCCCCCACCCCCCCCTCATCACCCCCCTTTCAATCACCCCCCCATCACCCCCCCTTTATCACCCCACCCCCCTTTATCACCCCCCTTTATCATCCCCCTTTCACCCCCCTATCACCCCCCTTATCGCCCCCCTTTATCACCCCCCTTTATCACCCCCCATTTTCTCACCCCCCCTTTATCACACCCCCCCCATCACCCCCCTTTATCACCCCCCTTCATCACCCCCCCTTTATCACCCCCCTCACACACCCTTTATCACCCCCCCATCACCCCCCATCACCCCCCCTTATCACCCCCCCCTTTACACCCCCCTTATCACCCCCCCCATCACCCCCCCCACCCCCCATTACCCCCCATCCACCCCCCTTTTATCACCCCCCCTTCATCACCCCCTCATCACCCCCTTCATCACCCCATCACCCCCCTTATCACCCCCCCTCTCGCCCCCCTTCACCCCCCCACCCCCCCCACCCCCCCTTCATCACCCCCTCTTCATCACCCCCCCTTCATCCCCCCCCTTCATCACCCCCCCTTCATCACCCCCCTTCATCCCCACCCCCCTTCATCACCCCCCTTCATCACCCCCCTTCATCACCCCCCTTCACCCCCCCCCTCACCCCCCCATCACCCCCCTTTATCCCCCCCCCCTTATCACCCCCCTTTATCACCCCCCCCTATCACCCCCCCACACCCACACCCCCCACCCAACCCCTAACCCCCCTTTATCACCCCCCCACACCCCCCTTTATACCCCCAACCCCCCTTTATCACCCCCCCATCACCCCCCTTATCACCCCCCCCATCACCCCCCCTCATCACCCCCCTTCATCACCCCCCCTTTATCACCCCCCCCTCACCCCCCTTTATCACCCCCCCTTCATCACCCCCCTTTATCACCCCCCCTTCATCACCCCCCTTTATCACCCCCTGTCATCACCCCCCCTTCATCACCCCCCCTTTATCACCCCCTTCCCATTATCCCCAGGCCTTCCCCATGCTGGTTGGGGACATGGACAGCGCCGGCAGCCTCAATGCCCAAGTGCTGCACCTCATCGCCGAGCGCATCCGCACCAAAGCCGTCTTCCAGGTGACTCCATGCAGGGACCACCATGGGGGGGGGATGTTCCTGTCCCCATCCCCATTGCGGTGACAGGACCCTCGGTGTCCCCCATTTCCCCCCTTTTCCAGACCCACCAGGCCAAGTTCGTGACGTGGCAGTTCGACGGCGAGTACCGGGGTGACGACTGCACCGCCACCCTCACGCTGGGCAACCCCGACCTGCTCGGCGGCTCCGGTGAGCACCGGTAC